CATACATATAGTTGATACTTAAATTTCGAAATTGATTATATTAGAATATATAATAAGTTTTTAAATTTAAATATTAATATTTATTAAAATAAAATTTTAATTTTTAAATATAAATTAAAATTTCAATTATTTTTAAAAATTAAAATTGATACACACTAATATCTATTTATTATTACTTTTTTTTTTTAATATTGAGAATTTGAGAGGAGAAATTTTCAAATATTTGATGGTAATAAAACTCTAAACCAATTAAACCTAAATTCCAAGACTTGAAATGAACTACTTGACCCATTCAACTGGTTCCACTAATTTCAATTTTAATTTTTAATTATTATCAAAATAGTAATTATATTTACCAACTGATTTACAAGGTTTTACCCGGCCAACTACTCTCTTACACGCTAGATCTCGCATGGTTTACGTCGCAATATAAATATACTAACCTGAGAAGACAGATTTGTTGTTTCCGAAGTCCGAACTGCCATAGAGTCGCCGGCAATGTGTTGCGTGCGTAACCTCTGCATTGCTCTTCTCTTACTTCACTCAGTAGCGGTTGCTCTGGTCTCTGCTCAGGGATCTAATTCTACTTCTCGCTGGCAGACTCTAAGCGGTTTGTTTCCTTATATAGAACCTCTTCTACTACATTTTCTCCTTTTTGAGATCAGTTTTCTCCTTTTTTTTGCTTTCTTGATGAGATTAGAATATGCAGTCTTTTTAAGTCCTTCTAAGTTTAATATCGATATCTTCTTTTGAAAATTTTGATATTCAGTTCTCAGTTTCTTTGAATCACTTTCTGTTTGGTTGAATACAATGTAGATGAGAAAATCCAGTCCTTGAGTCATTATTGATGATCAGTTTCTTGGGTGGAAAATTTGTTTTGATCTCTAAAGAGAAAATTTTCTAGGTTCACCAAGAATAATTTCTAGTACCCAAAAGTAAAAAAAAAAAAAAAAAAAATTCTGCACCGTATATTCATTTATACAGTAATCTAACAGGTACCTGTTTGATTGGTTTTGCAGGAGATGCACCTTTGGTTATTGCACGTGGGGGATTTTCAGGAATGTTTCCAGATTCTAGTTTACCGGCTTATGAATTGGCATTGTTAACTAGTGTACCTGATGTCATATTATGGTGTGATGTTCAGTTAACCAAAGATGGATTTGGGATTTGCTTTCCTAATCCCAATCTAGAAAATAGTACGAACATTGGTTATCTTCCATCTTTTAACAATCAGCAGAAGGTTTACCAGGTTGATGATGGTCCTGTTAAGGGATGGTTTTCAGTGGATTACACCTTCAGTGACCTTGGAAATTTTTCCTGTTAAGTGCATTGCATCCTTTTTTTTTCATATTCCTTTCTCAATTTCGATTGAAATCCCACTTAGAGGGATATGTTCTGCTGATCGTTCTGATGTGTTCTATTTTCTTGGACAGTAACTCAAGGAATCTATAGACGGACTCCACAGTTTGATCGCAATTTGTTAAAAATTTTGACTGTTCAAGATGTGGCTCATCGATTTAACCAATCAGCTTTCTGGTTGAATGTTCAGGTAAATTGGTTGGTTAATTAGAAAGGCCTTTTAATTTTTATTTTATCGTTTTCTGGCCTGATTCTGTAACTGCTTGCTTACTACTGCCTGGTTTGACACTTTCTCTCCTCTCTTCAACAATAGAGCCATTATCTCCTTGTTCTTGTTCAGAATTATTAACCCTTGTGCTTTGATGCTTTTGCAGTATGATGCATTTTACACGCAACATAATTTGAGTATGAGGAACTTTGTCCTTAATGTATCTAAGAGTGTGATTGTTGATTACATCTCTTCACCAGAGGTTGGCTTCTTGAGGAGTATTTTGGTACCTTTTGCATCAAGCAAGACAAAGCTGGTCTTCCGGTTTATGCAGCAAGATGACATTGAGCCTTCAACCAACCAGAGTTATCGTTCTCTGTTAGGGAATCTCACATTTATAAAGAAATTTGCCTCAGGAATTATTGTTCCCAAGTCTTACATATGGCCAGTAGATTCTAGTAATTACTTGCTAACTTCAACCTCTGTCGTCTCAGACGCTCACAAAGTAGGGCTAGAAGTTTTTGCATCAGACTTTGCAAATGATGCTCAACTTAGCTTCAATTACAGCTATGATCCACTGGCTGAGTATTTAAATTTCATTGATAACGGTGACTTCTCTGTTGATGGTGTGATATCTGACTTCCCAATAACTCCATCAGAAGCTATAGGCAAGTTACTAGTTCTTTTAGTAAAAGCGAAACCATTTATCCAATGCAGTAACTTAGTCTCAACAACTTTGGTTTATCAAGGCCACTTTTATTGAAACTTCTTTTTATTCTCCAGATTGCTTTGCTCACCTAGGCAAAAATGCTTCAAAACAAGGTAAGCATCATAAAACATTGCTTCTTGTGTAGAAGTTGATGTTTTCTTGCCTCACCAACTTTTGATGTAAAAGGATGCAAGACTTTATATTTTTGGTCCTACCAATTCTCCAAAGGTTCTTCTTGACACGACTTTCATCCCTTGCCTTGTTGTAGCTGATCTACTGATAATAACCAAATATGGAGCAAGTGGGGACTACCCTGGATGCACTGACTTGGCATACTCAAAAGCCATTGTAGATGGTGCAGATGTTATTGACTGTCCTGTGCAAATGACAAAGGATGGGATACCTATTTGCTTGCAGTCCATTAATCTTTTTGATAGCACAAATGTTGCCCAATCAAGTTTCAGCAACCTTGTAACAACGATTCCAGGGATTCAAGCAGACATTGGAATATTTACCTTTACCCTGACATGGAGTGAAATTCAGACCTTGAAACGTGAGTTATATTTGCTTCTTTTTTGTTTGTGTTGTAATTAGTTATTTTTTCAGCTTCATATTTTTCCTTCTTTTAGAAACCGTTAGTTCTTTGCAATGTGATTTTTTGAATCATAAATAAATTAATAATATCACACAGCAAGTCTGCACAAGGTGGACCAAAGAGAAAACTGTAAACAGGAAAAAGAGGGTAAAAATAGATATAAGATAGAGAAAAATAATTTCTAAAGGTGTTTTTGTCCAACAAGTTAAGGAAGAGTAAAAGGATGGCACCAGATGGAGTCGTTTGGAGTTTATACTACTAATTTCTTTACACAGAGATTTTAATGGCTAGTTCTATATTCTTTCTAAGATAGATATGGTTAACCATAACATTTTGGTCAACATCCCTGTATTTATCCATTATATGTCTCTGCAGCATCAATATCAAGCCCACAGGGGAAGAACGACAATTTATTTCGGAATCCAAATTTCAAAAATGCTGGAAAATTTGTAACATTGTCTGATTTTCTGGCCACAGCAAAAAATGCTAGCTCTCTTTCTGGTGTCTTAATCAGCATAGAGGTGAGTTCTTTATTTTCCATGATATTACTTGTTAAAGATCATTTTCCTAATCTTAAGTTTCCTGAATGCATGTAATTGCTGTGCTCAGGGTAACTGTGGAAGACATTATGGTAAATGCAGCCTAAGAAATTTTCATACCTTATTGTTTCCATTCCGATCCATGGAGCATAGTAGCTGAAAAATGCATTTTATTTAGGCTTAGGTCCATGTGTCAATTAAAAACTAAAGCTTTAGTTGTTAGTAGTAGGTGGTCTTGTTCCATACATTTAATCATTGTACTAAATTCCCAATGTAGGATAGGGGTGTCCAGCACTGTAGATTCATTGAATTCTTGTCAAGGCTGAATCATTCAAGATGTCATGCTCACTCTTCTGTTTGCAAAAGTTCTTTAACACAAATCCTTGTGGGCAAACAAAACTGAATGTTATTGTCATCTCAAAGTTCCTCCTATCTCAAACTGCTAGGATTTCCTGTGCTTTATATTCACTGCCTTCTTATAAATCACTTCTCAAAACTTTCAAGTTTCATTTTAAACTACTGCATGGTCTTCTGACTTGCAAAGTAATAGTAATGGAAAACACACAAGCTAATCTTCCTACATTCTAGATATTCTTAAGGGAGCTGACTGCATCAAGTGTTTTAACTACACGAGCAAATGAAGACACAATTGCTATTCTGAGTAGCAGCATCTGCTTTCTTATGAGCGCCCTGACTTCTAAAATCTGCATCCTTGGACTAGCATACCGTTATGTTGACTCACATGTATTTTTCCCTTTTTGAGGGATTGACCATTTTTTCTTGATTCATTTTGTTGTTCAGAATGCAGCTTACCTTGCAACGGAGCAGGGCTTGAGTGTAACTGATGCAGTGCTTAGTGCTTTGAGTAAAGCTGGATATGATAAAGTGACAACTCCAAAAGTTATGATACAGTCCAGTAACAGTTCTGTTCTAAAGAAGGTCAATAGTGCAGGCACTTATGAGCTTGTCTACAGGGTTGATCAAAGTATTCGGGATGCTCTTAACGCCACAGTTGAGGACATCAAAAGCTTTGCTCATTCTGTGGTTGTTGACAGGACCTCTGTTTTTCCTATGGATGAAAAATTTGTCACTGGTACAACAGATGTTGTAACCAAGCTACAATCCTTCAAGCTTCCTGTTTATGTAGAAACTTTCAGCAATGAGTTCATATCTCAACCGTGGGACTTCTTCTCAGATGCAACAGTTCAGATCAACACATTTTACAAGGTATCCGGTCTCAATGGTGTAATCACAGACTTCCCAAAGACAGCTGCTCGATATAGAAGTAAGTAGATGCTTACTGATTCTTTATATCCTTTATTTAAATGATGCCAAAAGCTGGGTATCTGAACTAAGTTCTATTATGTCTTCTTACTACTGTGCCATTTTGTAGTATAGACTAATGTTTTGGAACATACATGTAATTTAATACACTGTTGACCTGACAATCCTTGCCAGGGAACAGATATTTGGGAAAGGGTAAAGAGACACCTAGATACATGATCCCTGCTCCGCCTGGTTTCTTCATGGGACTCATTGCACCTGCTTTCATGCCACCGGCTGATGCCCCGTATCCTGTACTGACAGTTCAGGATGTAGTAGAGCCACCTTTGCCCGATGCTGTAGCAAAATCCCCTTCTACCAGTCCGGCTGGATCTCCATCAACCTCACCACCGCCAAATGAACAACCTAAAGTCACCGCTTGCGTCTTCGTCTCAAATCTGGCCATGCTTCTCGTCGTTCTCTTGCTGTTTTAATGCTGGAGAGTGGAGAGTCACCTACTCAAATCCAAGAACCCCCCTCTTTTTTTTTTTCTAATTTTCTTTTGCCATGTTAGAATATAGAATATTTGTATTTATTTTAGAATTTTATATTCACATTATAATTGATTATATACATTTAAATTATTTGATTTTATATTTAAGAATATTTTATTATATAATTTTATACTTAAGAATATTCTCTTGTATAAATCTATATATAATGCCTTTATATATATAATAAAAATAAGAAAACAATAAACCTTTCTTCAGATTATTATTCTTCTTTTTTGTTTCTAATATGGTATCAAAACTATAAGCTCCTAGTTCTTTTCATCGTTATTTGGTTTTTGGAGTTAGATTTTCAAATCTATTTTAGATCTAATTAAAACTTTGTCATTGCGATCTCTTCTACTATAGATTGGATTGTTTATTCTCAATTTTCAGGCATTTTCTAAGGCATTTTATTGGGTTATTATTTCAATCTTGACATATATTTCTTCATATTTTAGAGTTTTTCAGTATTATGAGTTTTACTAATTCTATAACGAGTTTTGAAAGAAATGTAACTCATCCTGCTAACTCATTTTGCTACTACTATAGTTGCTAAAAAAGTGATAGACTAACCTAATATTAACCTCGAATCTCTAAAACATGTGATATTAAATTTTTTTAATATTCCTACTACCTTATCTATGACTTTAGGTACCAAACCTTGGTATTTTTATTCTGGTTGTTGTAACCATATATGTTCAATTACTGCTCATTTCTCTTTAATGTCACCAAATAATTCCTTTCTTGATATTTATTCTATTGATGGTTCCCCTATGAATGTTAGTCACATTGGCAATATTTCTAACAAGTCATTGACTTTACCAAATGCTCTTTTAGTTCCAAAATTTAGTTATAATCTTCTATTTATTAGTCAATTATGTGATCTTGGCTTTGAAGTAATATTTTCTGCTCATGGTTATCATGTGCAGGACTCACAAACAAGACAATTTCTTGGGATTGATCGCAAGGTGGGGCGATTGTTTGAGCTAAATTATCCACATATTCCACATCATAAAATGGATACACCATCATTTCCAAATAATCGCTTGGTTTTACTTCAAGCTCACATGATACTGTTTTATTCATTCGTAAGACTGCTCGAGTATCATTCTTTTACTTCTTTATGTTGACGATATGATTATTACTGGAGATGATATTGTAAGTGCTGAAAAGCTAAAACAATCTCTCAATCAAAAATTTGAGATGAAAGATCTTGGTGTTCTGAGCTCTATTTTGGGGCTTGAAGTCATCTCTTCTGATATGGCTACCTGCTTTCTCAGGTAAAGTATGCCTCCAATCTTGTTTCCAAGGCTGAACTCAATGATAGCAAGAGTGTTTCTACACCTCTTGAATCTAATGTCAAGTTTACATCTATGGATGGTTCTCCACTTTTTAATCCTACTCGTTATCGGCAACTGGTTAGAACTCTGGTTTATCTTACAACGACACGCCTTGACATAGCATATGCAGTTCATATTGTTAGTCAGTTTATGACTACTCCTCACTCCACTCATTATGCAACAGTACTTTGTATTAGTTGTTATGTTAATGGGGCATTGTTTCATGGATTCCATTTTTTTGCTAACTCCTCCCTTGTTCTTCTCGCGTATTCTAATGCTGATTGGACTAGTGATTCTTCTTATCACAGATCTAGCACTGGTTACTGTCTTGTCCTTGGTAATTCTTTTATCTCTTTGCAAAGTGAGAAACAAACTATTCCATCTTGTTCTAGTACTAAAGCTGAGTATAAAGCTCTCGATAATACCACATTAGAACTTCTCTCATTATGGTGGCTTCTTGGAGATATAAGCATTCCTCAACCTTCTTCTACTGATTTATATTATGATAATCAAAGTGTTATATAGATTGCTCACAATGATGTCTTCTATGAACGCACAAAGCATATCAAGATTGATTTGCCACTTTATTTGTCATCATGTTGCAAAAGGAACTGTTCATTTGATTTTCATTAGTTTTGTTGATTAACCTGCTGATTTGTTTATAAGGCTCACTTCCCTTGACACTTCCAAACTCTTCTTTTCAAATTTAGGTTGGTTTCCTCACCACCAGCACCATCTTAAGTTTGAGGGGAGATGTTAGAATATAAAATATCAATATTTATTTTAAAATATTATATTCACATTGTAATTGATTATATATATTTAAGTTAATTGGTTTTATATGTAAGAATACTCTATTGTATGAACATTCTATTATATGAATATTCTATTGTATAGTTTTATACTTAAGAATATTCTCTTATGTAGATTTATGTATAGAATCTTTGTACAAACAATAAAAACAAAAAGGCAATAAACCTTTCTTTAAATTATTATTCTTCTTTTCTTTTCTAACATGCCTCGAGTTATTTTTACCTTTATTTTTTTTGTAGGTTTGTTAATTCTTCCTCCATCCATATTAGAAAATTAATGCGCAAATTCTTGAACTACGTATCTATTTATTCTTGAACTACATATCTATTTATTCCGTTCTTAATTAAACCATGGAATGAATTATTCTTGAATTTTTTATTGAATCGAAAGATATCCATTTTGTCAATCTAGCAATAATAGAAAGCAAATAACCCAATAACCCAAAAGGTTTGAATTGAGGATATGCTTTATTTGAGAGAAATTTTAGGGAAGCAATTTTTGTCTATTCTTTACTCACGCTATAGCATTCTTACAATTTAAATTAAAGATCTTTTTGTTTTATTTATAAAAAAAATTAACATTAAATCACTTAAGTTATTGGCTAAATGTAAATAATTTTAATACTCTACCATTGTTATATTTCGATATAAATTTGCATAGGCTCTAAAATTCTGATGATATAAAAAATTTTCATGATATGCTCCTAACTTGAAAACTACACAAAATCAATCTCAGCATTCTTATGCCGTGAGGCAAAGTTATTCATAAAAGTGTACAAATGATTTGATTAGTATATATGGAATGAATGATTTGATTTGCAGATATATTGTTCTTTGCCTTAAAATATACCTTTCTATAGGAAAGTACATGAAAACCAAACGTACATCAAACGGATGATTCCCTTCTCATGCTTAGTACCCATATGGACATACCCTTATAATATAAGACTATTATCCCTTTAGGATTGACATTCATTGTATCCTCTCCCATGGTATGAGCAGGGATACATTATGCTTTAATTTATCTTGATTCATCTTTTGAAATACTCCTATCCACGAACTTGAATTTGTTTTTCGACTGTTCGTTTTTCTTATAGAAGCAACAAAAATGGATGATTTTCATCCCTAAAAGCAATGTAACAGATCATATTAAAAGCAAAAATAAACTGCATTCTTCCTTTTGTGTCAATCAAAGTGCATGTTATAAAAAGCACAAAAAACACACCCTAATGCAAACACAAAAGTCAATATCGATCAAAGAGAAGAGGAGGAGAGGTACAATGGTTTTTGATTCAGCTTCTAAAAATTTGTTTTTCTTCTTCTTCTTCACAATGTCCACATTGCAATGCTTAAATCAAGTTCAAGCAAGAACCCATTTCAGTGTCCTTCAGTTTGGTGCTTGTGCTGATGGAAAAACAGACAACAGTAAGGTAAATTGATAAAACCAAATTAACCCCTTTATATAGTATCAACTTGAGATGCTAAATCAATTAAGTTCTTGTTGTTCCCTAATATATTACTATATGAATTATATATGATTTTTTCCCTTTTTTGAGTTTAGGCGTTTATGGCAGCATGGAATCAGGCTTGCAATTCATTGGGAGAAAATGGTGTTTTGATCCCAACAGGGGTATTTCTGTTGCGTCCAGTAGTGTTTAGGGGTCCCTATAAGGGCTCTGCTGTGTTTTAGATTAGAGGAGTCCTCAAGGCTCCCACTGATAAAGCTTCACTTTTGGACCATTGGATTAGCTTCAA